TATTCTTCTTCGAATCAACTCACTTGTGATGAAGTCCCTCCATTGATAAAGTGAAACTTGATTTGCAGCCACTGAGTCTCTCCTCCGAACATGCTTGATGCATAATAAATAGGGAATGCTAGGTTGATCCAATTGCTGCCAATTTCGGATATGTTGTTCTCCACATAAGTAGGAACAACATTCATGTTTCCATTTGAGTAATAGAAAATCTGATTTAGCATAGTTGCAACTGACTAGTCGTCACAGACTGCTGTCACGAACAGAAATCATGATGAGTGCTCTGAAGATTCAATACTTGTGCAAATGACGCCAAATTAGGATATGTCGTAGTAAACATCCAAATGAACAACTTTCATGAAGAACGAATGCTCATTTGAGGACTGGAAGCGGCCCGAATCGGGCCATAATTAGGCCCGAATTGCCACTGTTTTCAGCTTTCGCTATTGTTGGTATGCTTATGCTTTTTGATGTCGCGAGGATTCCACATTTATCCAAATTTGGATATGTTGCAGTAGACATTCTAATGAAAAACTTTCATGAAGAAAGACAATTCATTAGAGCATTGGAATTAGGCCCGAATTGCTGCTATAAGCTTTTTGCTAGTGCTGCGCATATGGTGTTTTCAGCTCTTAGAATTCCACATTTGTCCAAATAAACCCAAATTTGGATATGTTGCAATAGACATAGAGATGAACAACTTTCATGAAGAACGAAACTTGATTTGAGCGCTGGAAGTTGAATTTTGGGCTCACTCCATCTGACTGCAGCAATTCATGTCTGGCCATATTTTTGCCATTTTGATGTTCATGGAACATTATCTTCCATTTTAGGCAAAAATACGATTTTTGGTACAAACAACCCCAATCGAACTCAAGATTCATTCTTAAACTCACCCATAAACAACAAATTTCATGCCCAAAATCGAAGAAAGAAATTAATTAAGATAAACCTAGATTCTCATATCAGCACCCAAAAAGAGATAAACAAAAAACTAGAAAGAAAATTCACTTGAGAGAAATCACCGGATATGGAGAGGATCTACATATATATCCAATAATCCGATCCGAAATATTTATTTTCATAAATTTTCAAATTAACAAAACTAACATAGAATAAATTAAAAAAACAATCCATAAAAGAATATGATAATTGCATCCAAAATATTCAATTACACTTCAACAGGAACAAAAATCTTACAGCTCCACCTAAATACTTTCATCTTAGTCCTGCATTTCTTGTGTTTTTCAGTGACTGAGTGAGAGAGAGAGAGAGACAGAGGAAGAAGATGAGGTCCGCTTTACCCCCAAAAAAATATGAGGTCCGAGAGAAGGTGAGAGGAAGAAGAAGATGAGTAATGGAGAAGAGAGAGTAGATCAAGAAAAATGGGCGACGACTACATTTGAGAGTAAGGAGGGAAATAAAATAAAGAAAATAAATAGAGTAAGGAGAGAGCCGTGTGTTGTTGTCCAACTCTTTTTTGCAACATTTGAGACACAATTTATAAAGAGAGTAAGGAGGGAAAACAAAATTATAAAAAATAAAAAAAGACAGGAAGATAGAGAGAGAGAAGGAGTCGCCTCTTTGAGAAATCATTACTTTTTACTTTTTTTTTGGGGGGGTGAAATCATTACTTTTTACTTTGTTTACAGTATTTTGGACGCAATTTGGGTGGTGCTAGAGGCACCACCTTGGGCACCAACTGTCTAATAGAGGTGGAGCCCTCCAATACAACGGGTCCCACGTTCTATTAGAGAGTTGGTGCCTCTAGCATTTTCCATTTCAATATCTGTGCTCTATTTGAAATTTGTGCTCTATCTATATATAGAGTATAGACTATCATACTTTGAAATGTGTGCGGTACAATGCCACAAAATTCAATATTCCTGCCCAATACTGAACTATAAAAGTGTAAGTAACAAGAAACAAGCTTTTTATTGGTATAAGGCACAAATAATGTTTTAGGGTTATAATTTTTTATTAGTACAATATATAAGAAAAATGCACAAAAGTATATTTTTCATAGTTAAAAAAGCTTCAACCATTCAAAAAGTGTAGTGATAAATTCTATGCTATGGTAATTGGGCACCAAATTTGTGCTTAAACGGCTTTAGGCACAGTGATTTGCCTTTCCTGTTGTCATTAGACACAAAACTATTGTGTCTTCTTTGCATGTCACACAAATACTACATATTTGTGTAAAATATAATTCAAAAAGACATGAACTTCATTTTTGTGATCTTCAGGTCGTGCTTTTAGCCCACTTTTGTAGTAGTGGGCCTAATTTAAGGCCTTAGATAAGGCCCTCATTATAGAATTCTTGCCCAAAAGAGACTTGTAATTGACTTCTGGTGGCTAGCCCAAAGAAAGTTATTGTGTAGATCTACCTTACAAATAAATTAGGAATTCTTGTGCTCATTCTAGATGAAGAAATAACATCACAACTTGTAAAATAATGTGAACATGTTCTTCTTATATATAAAATTTCCATGGCTATAAATTCAAACCATAAACTAAAAGTTTCACAGCAAACTTTTCATAGGCGAATACGTATATGAGATGTACATATTGCTTGTTGTTTACACCATAATCAACCGAGCATGTCCAGCCTCAAAACAACTAGCACCAAGGCAGATACGCCTTCTCCCCTGCCAAAGGAAGACACTCTTCCAAGGTGCCAGACACCTGCTGAAGCTCCCGACTTCCGAAGCTCCCAATTGCCAAACCTAATCTCCATGACACGTGTCACCACCACAGCAACTCCAACAAAATCCCACATTGGAAATCTACACAAACCTCCCACTTTCACTTCCCTATAAATAGGGAACAGTACCCTAGTAAAAAGGGTAACTAATTTCTTACCTTTACTGTTACTCTGCCAAAGTTACTACTTATAGCTGACTTAAGCATCGGAGAGTCTTTGGCCAGCACCACACCGGTGTCCGAAGCTTAACGATTGCTTCTCCTACTTTGTCTTCTGCAGGGTACCCAACTACTGAAGGTCCTAGCCCCTTTTCCTACCAAAGGTCTTAGCCCCTTTTTCCTTCTGAAGACAATCCCCTTATCTCTAAGTTGACCCTCTCCCCAAAAAGAGCATCAACAGTTTGGCGCAGTCTGTGGGAATCAACTCTTGAATCCCAACTCCCTCTACCAGCTCTGCTGGCTCCTTCTCCTATCAAGCCTCGTCGCCTCTTCTTCACCCCACATTCCAGTATGCCGAGTGAGGAAAGCATCGATACCCAACGCCACACCCCCCATGGGGAGTCCTCCCGAAGGAAGCCTTCGGCAGGAGGAGATCTCCAGGCGGAGGTGGAGTGCCTCCATGCCAGCGTTGCGAAGATGTCCGAGAACTACGAACACCTTCGCACAAAAAATGTGGAACTGGAGCATGATTGCCAAGCCCTGAAATGTAGTATGGAGGGCAAAGGCCACCAATTCACCCAGCAAGACCACACCCAGGACGTTGGGCACACCCAGCTGAACCATCCACTTACCTCTCGTCATAGCGCTCCCATACAAAATAGGCTTGACAAAGGCAAGGGTCACCTCCACCCAGAAACCATCAAGTTGAAATTTCTCCATGTTCCTCCGCCAAAAGGCCAGCCCAACTTCCCAGCTAAAGTCTATCGGGACTGTAGACACCGTATATCGGAGCGTAGACCAGACCCAATCAACATCAATGTGGATCTCCACCACCCAAAGGCAACTCAGCTTGGGCCCCTGCCAAAGCCCACCCGTGCAGCCACCACGGAGGAAGTCGGGGACTCAGACGATTGGGAACCATACAACCCTGAGGACTGGGAGATCCATTGCTCCAAAGATTTCGAGGGCTGGGAAGACTATCCAACCCCACCTACCCAACCCTACAAGTCTTCGGCACCCAATACTCTTCCGCATGCTGACCCAGCTATGCACCTCTTCTTTGAGAAGGTTCAGCGCCTGGAGAGTGAGCAGCATCGCAATTTCGAGGGCTGGGAAGACTATCCAACCCCACCTACCCAACCCTACAGGTCTTCGGCACCCAATACTCTTCCGCATGCTGACCCAGCTATGTGCCTCCTCTTTGAGAAGGTTCAGCGCCTGGAGAGTGAGCAGCATCGCAGCCACCAGCCCCTCTGGGCAAAACCACGACCTGGCCCCTTCACTGAGCGTATCCTCAACTATCATCAGGAGAAGGACATTCAGCCACTTCGTATTGCCTTCTACACTGGCACGGAGGATCCCCTTACCCATATCCACTCCTTCCAGTCTGCCCTTGGATGCAAGGGCCTCAGTGATGAAGGGATGTGTCTTCTTTTCCCTTCTACCCTCAGTGGTGCTGCTCTAAATTGGTTCTACCGGTTAAACCCTAGGACTATCAACTCATTTGATAGCCTGAAGCAAACCTTCCTCGACCATTTCATGATCCAGACCGATCGCTTGTACTCCGCGAACGACTTATACATGCTTCGGCAGGGTGAGGACGAACCCCTTTGGGAGTATGCAGCCCACTTCAGCCATGAGTACTCCCGCTGCCCAGATACCGATGATCGGGCTGCCTTCAGTGCTTTCAAGAGTGGCCTTCGCGAGTCCAACTTCCGTTACCTGTTCCACAGCAACCAATGGAACACCTACGCCGAACTGATGAAGCAAGCCGCTGTCCATGCAAAGGCTGAGTACTTTAATTCCAGGCGTGGCCCGGCTACCTTGGCACGTGGCGCTCCTGTTAGTCCCCTACCTGCTTCGGTACCCAACCCAGCACCCTAAGAGGAAGGATAGTTACCAGCACACCTTCAGCAATGGGAAGCGTGGTAGACATGGCAACCATCACCAGTCCAGCGGTGGCAACCCCCCAAGGACAGGTGATCGGGCTCCACTCCCCTTTACACCCAAGCCTAGGTTCGAGGTCTTCACCACTCTCAACACCACCTATGAGAATGTCCTGGTGCACGAGGCACCAATGATACCCAAGCAAGGAACCAATGATACCCAAGCCCCCCCCAAGACGACCGACCAGCAAACCTATGCCAAACACAGGTGTCTTCTGTCGCTTTCATCAGTTCAGTGGCCATGACACCGAATCTTGTATTACCTTGCGCAACATCACTGAGGGACTTATCCGTGAGGGGAAGTTGGATAAATATGTGCACAACCTCCCACCCCCACCTAACCCTCACCAACAGCAGATCAACATGATCTCCACCATCAGTGGTGGCCCTACATTAGCCGGATCCTCCAACAACTCCATCAAACACTATGTTCGCTCTTCCTACGCACACCAGGTCTTCAGCACCGAGCAGGGACGCATAGCGAAGACACAAAGGACGGGCTGGGCCCCCATTACCTTCAGCGAGGAGGAAGAGCGTGGTGTTATTCTCCCCCATGACGACCCACTGATTATCCGAGCAGATATCTCTAACTTCGACGTTGGGCGTATCTTGGTGGACACTGGCAGCTCGGTCAGTGTGATGTTTGCTGATGCTTTTAACGAACTCCAGGTCCCCGCTCATTTGCTCGACCGAAGCATCACACCCCTTGTGAGCTTCTCTGGCGATGTAGTTCAGCCCATTGGCAACATCCATCTCCCTATATCTATTGGTTTAGCACCCCAGCGGGCAACCACCACCACTCCCTTCCTTATCGTGGATTGTCCCACAGCCTAGAATGTCATCCTCGGCCGCCTAGCCTTGGCACAAATGAAGGTATTCGTCTCCACACATATACTACTACTGAAGTTCCCCACCCCCCATGGCACAGGCACGGTGAGTGGCGACCAACTGAGCGCTCGAAGCTGCTATGCTTCGGCAGTCAAATCCACCAATCGCCAAACCAAGGGTCAGGCCCTTACGGTAACCAAGGACCCAGCCCCTTCTCCAGCCGGAAATGAGCGACCTGAGGACCCTAGGGAGGAATCCTTCACCCAACAGGCCGAACCTGTGGAAGACCTTGAACTGGTTAGCCTCCATGATGACGTCCCGGATCGGCACCTCCCTCTCCCAGGAGCTTTGCTCTGACCTCGTAGCTTTCCTTCGACTTAACTCCGAGGTCTTCGCCTGGTCCTACAACGACATGCATGGCATATCACCTGATGTCATTTCTCATCGGCTCAACATTAATCCTGCCATCCGACCTGTTCGGCAAAAGCGTCGGGCCTACGACCCAAAGAGATACGAAGCCATGAAGGCGGAGGTGGACAAGCTGGGTAGTATTGGATTCATCAGGGAGGTAAACTATTCCACCTGGCTGGATAATGTGGTAATGATCCGAAAACCGAAGAAAGGCTGGTGCATGTGTGTGGACTACACCAACCTCAATCGAGCTTGTCCGAAGGATAGCTTCCCTCTACCTAGAATCGACCAACTCGTGGATGCCATAGCAGGCCATGCCCTTCTTAGCTTCATGGATGCCTATTCTAGGTACAACCAGATCTTCATGCACCCTGAGGACCATGCCCACACTTCATTCATCACTGATCGTGGCCTCTATTGCTATAAGGTAATGCCCTTCGGCCTTAAAAATGCTGGCGCAACTTATCAGCGCCTTGTGAATAGCATCTTTGCCCCACTGATCGGCCACACTATGGAGGTTTATGTCGATGATATGCTAGTCAAAAGTCGCACCGCTGACCAGCACATTCCAAACCTCTCCGCTATGTTCGCCATCCTGAAGCAGTACAAAATGAGACTCAACCCCACGAAGTGCACCTTCGGCGTGGCTTCAGGCAAATTCCTTGGCTTCATGATCAGCCAGCGGGGAATTGAGGCTAATGCAGAAACGATTCAGGCCATCTTGGATATGACGATACCGAAGACGGTCAAGGACATCCAGAGCCTAACTGGATGCGTCGCAGCCCTCACCAGGTTTATCTCCAAGGCCACCGATCGCTGTACACCTTTCTTCAAGGTCCTCAAGGGCCCTAAGCGCAACATCACCTGGACCCCAGAGTGTGACAAAGCTTTCAGCGAGCTCAAGGAGTACATGAGCCGGGCCCCTCTATTGTCAACCCCTAGCCTGGAGACATCCTCACCATTTACTTATCCGTCTCAGCTACGGCGGTTAGCTCGGTGCTCATCCGTCCACATGAGAGTGCCGAACATTCTGTGCATTACGTTAGCAAAGCCTTGTAGGACGCAGAGGTTCGGTACCCAGACATTGAGAAGCTGGCTTTTTGCCTTAGTAGTATCCGCTAGACGCCTGAGACCTTATTTCCAGGCACATAGCATTCATGTCCTAACCAACCAACCGCTCAGACAAGTATTGCAGAAGCTAGAGACTTCTGGTAGGTTGGTCAAGTGGGCCATCGAGCTTGGTGAATTTGATATGCACTATAAGCCTCGCCCAGCTACCAAGGGTTAGGCGGTCGCAAACTTCATCTCTGAGTTTACAGAACCCCAAGCTTTGGCCACCCCCCAGGTCATACCTACTGAGCCCACTCCTCCATCGAACCTGGTTCACGTCGCCAGCAATGGCACCCTCGACCTTACCTAGCCCTTGTGGACATTGTATGTGGATGGCTCCTCCAATGCCTAGGGTTGTGGGGTTGGCCTTGTTCTTATCTCCCCAGATAAGGTTGTCCTTAAGTATGCCCTTCGCTTTCAATTTCATGCCTCCAACAATGCGACCGAGTATGAAGCACTCCTAGCTGGCCTTCGACTAGCCAAGGAGATGGACGCTAAACAAATCCAGATATTCAGTGACTTCAGGCTCGTTGTTCATCAGGTTAACCAGGACTTCACTGCTAAGGACATCTCTATGACAGCATACCTTCAACATAGCCGCCACATGTTGACTACCTTTGATGCTTATCTCATTAGCTAGGTACCACATTCGGAGAAGAGCCATGCCGATGCTTTGGCCAGGCTAGCCTCGGCCTTGGACCAGGGCAATGGTCGAAACATCCACATCGAATTCCTAGATCCGCCCTAGCACACAAACCCCACTCATCTGTACCATTGATAACAGCCCTACTTGGATGGACCCCATCCTTCAATTCTTGCAAAACCAGACACTACCCGCTGATCCTGCTGAAGCACGGCATGTCCGTTATCGCTCCGCTCGATACCTGATCATCAATGGCTCTCTATATAGGCGTGGCTTCAGCCTTCCCTACCTTCGGTGTCTTACTCCAGAGGAAGGTACTTATGTTCTTCGGGAGATCCATGAAGGCATCTGTGGCAATCATTCAGGCGCTCGGTCACTAGCACATAAGGCCATTAGGCAAGGATACTTCTGGCCCTCACTTCACACCGATGTCCAGGCCTTCACCCAGAAGTGCGATAAGTGTCAGCGATTTGCCAACATCCCACAACTTCCAGCTGAACCACTGACAGCCATGGTCAGTCCTTGGCCATTCGCCCAATGGGGACTTGACCTCATCGGACCTATGCCCGAGGGCAAGGGGCCAGGTCAAGTATGCAGTAGTAGTTGTGGACTACTTCACCAAATGGGCTGAAGCTGAGGCCTTAGCTACCATAACGGTAGCTCGCATCGAAACGTTCGTTTGGCAGAACATCGTATGTCGTTTCGGCATCCCTCACACCATCGTCACGGACAACGGCCGGCAGTTCGACAATGCAAAGTTCAAGCAATTTTGTTCCAACCTCAAGATACGTCTTTGCTTCGCCTCCCCAGCCCATCCTCAGTCCAATGGCCAGGTCGAAGCTGTGAACAAAATCATCAAGAAGACCCTGAAGACCAAGCTTGACAAAGCCAAAGGTTGCTGGCCAGAGTTACTCCCAGAGGTCCTCTGGTCCTATCGCACCACCTTCCGTACCTCCACGGGAGAAACACCGTTTTCTCTTTCCTTTGGTACCGAAGCCGTGGCCCTAGTGGAGATTGGCCAGCCCACATACCGAACCTCCACTTATGATGCCGAAGCCAATGACGAGCAGTTAGCACTGAACCTCGACTTCATTGATGAGCTTCGTGACCAATCCAATATGCGCAACGTCGCTTACAAACAGCGTATCGCCAAGTACTATGACTCCTGAGTCAAACCCCGTGCTTTCAAGACTGGGGACTGGGTCGTGCGCAAGGTTTCTTTGGCCACTAAAAATCCTAATGAAAGTACCTTGGGCCTAACATGGGAAGGCCCCTATGAGATTACCAAAGTCTGCCGCCCCGGCACTTATCAGCTTCGTGATCCCAAGGGCAAGACTTTGCCTCATCCTTGGAATGCTGATCACCTCAAGTACTACTATAAGTAAGCACACCTAGACCCTAGGATATTGTGTTTTCTTAGACTTTGGTTTGGAGCCTTGACTCGACTATCTCTTGTACCTTTTTACCTTTCGGCACTTATCTAGTGAAATGTATAAGTAAGCACACCTAGACCCTAGGACAATGTGTTTTCTTAGACTTTGGTTTGGAGCCTTGACTCGACTATCTCTTGTACCTTTTTACCTTTCGGCACTTATCTAGTGAAATGGCCGACCCTGGCTAATTTTTATCAATCACATGATTTTCATTTTGCTAGCACAATTGATATCAAATGACAACAAGTCTAATATCATAGCACATCAAAATAAACTTGCCCCAAGCAAGGCAAATGTTCATACATAGCTTAAATAAACATCAAGTGTTCCAAGAATAGCTAAAGTACATAAGGAAGGCAACGCCTTCAACACTAGGTAGAAGCGGCATCCGCAGGAGCCGGCTCTGACTATGTAGCGGCAGCAGTGGCATCAATAGTGGGACTAGGAGAAGGTGG